TGCTAAGTTCAGTAGCATGCCTGTAACGTTCGTTTTGGAATAAACACAAGTGGTTCCTGTGACGCATTTTAAAAGCGGTGTCACAGAGACCAATGTACGTTTCCTTTGTGGTTTCTGTGGTGACCTCTGCCTGGTAAATTATGCTTTCCATTTTACAGCTTCTATCCATGGGGCATATGTCAGGTTTTCTACAGTTGCAGCTTTTCCTAGCTCGATCATTAGCGCATGCGAGTTTCCGGATTTCAGATTTGTTGTGGTGAGATATGACAGTTTTAATGCTGCCCATGCAGCTGTAGCTCAGTTTAAGGGTGTTCCAGTTGAGAATTCCGTCAAGAGGATTAGTTTTTGTGAAATGCTTATCAATAAGTGCAAGGAAGCATTTTCCGACGTTAGTTTCCACGTTCTTGCTGTATGGTGGGTTAAACCATGTAATGTTCCACTGCCTGTTTCTTCGTGGACGTGGTGCCTGGTTTGATGCAGCGTTGAATGACAGGGTGTAGCTATAGCCACTTTTTTTAGAGCTTCTTGATAAGTAGGTTTAGCGCTATCGAAGCATTCCCTGTCGGAAGATATCTCGGAGAGCCTCCTATTGATTGATTCAGGGATGTTGTTCAGAATGGATGGTGGGTGGTTAGATTGTTAATGCACGTACAGGGGGATGTTGCCTTCCTTAGTAAAAGGGTAATACTTGCCACTTGAGAGGTCAAGCATGACGTCTACAAAATTGGTTTTGGTGATGTTAGCCTCGACTGTGATTTTTAAGTCATTGTCGCGGAAGACTTTGCAAAAACCTTTCTTGGTATTCTCTATTTCCTGCGGTGTTCCATTGAGGGCAGCCAAACCATCATCTCGGTATAAACCAATATTTTGACCATACTCCTCAGTAAGAATTGATAAGAGAAAGCATCCAACCAGCTCACACGTTTCCGCTCCATCGAAGGACCCCATGGTAACATCAAAGAGGTTGCTGGCAGATTTTTTCTCCCATGGGCAATCGTCGTTAAATAGCAGAGATCGTTTTGCATGCAAGATGATTTCACGCTCATGGCTGTTGATTGAGCAGTGCTTAGAGGCAAAATCTAGTGCCTTGGAAAGCAACTTCTCAGTGATGGAGGGGTAGAATTCACAAACGTCGAAACAGATGAATGAAAGAGAGCTCTTATTTTCTAAACTATTAAACCATTTGAGGACACTTGAGGTGTAATTCCACTGGTTTACTTTACTGCCGGTGATGATAGCGTTGTTAATTTCATCGAGGAGATGCTTACTGATTTTCCCAGTTTCAGGCTTAGAAGGGTTTATTAAGCGGCATGATGGATTGTCTTGAAAATTGGGCTTATGGTCTTTCAACGTGATGAATGCATCTTCCTTAGCCAATTTCTCAATGCGGTCGTCTAACTTGAGTCGCTCAGCAATTTTGGCAGACTGGGAGTCTAACTTGTCAACAAGATGATCGCTTGACTTTTTGTAGGTTTTGGTAATGTTCTCTTGAAGCAATTTGTCGTATGAGGAAGGATTCATGGTATAGAAATTATTGGTTTTATCGGCGGAAATGAGGAGGGTGTGTGGCTTCTTAATCTTGTTCTTAATGTCGCTATGTAGCTTACTTTGAAAACTGCATCTGGTGTCCTTGAATTTTATGTTCTGGATAAGCTGGGTCATGGCATCTTCAAAAGGTAGCAACTCGTTGATTTGAGGCGGAGAGTAAGACCTA